CCCAATGCAACATTTTAAACGAAAATATACGAGGACACAGTCAAGGAAACTGAAATATTCAAAAGAAAAGAAAGGACAACTGTTATTATTCCCTGAAGGGAATATTTCCCTCCCTGCATGCCCATTATAAACAAACATGACAATAGAGATAACATCTGTTCATGATGAAGGATCCTGTCCATACACTTCATTTTTATTCAAATTGTCAGTACTCTGTTAATAGTATGACCTTAGCAGTTGCGAGCGCCGTAAAACCCTATACTACATACATACATACATGTTAATAGTACCTAAGAGGTACAAACAATTGATAATTTCTACCTTGCTACTTCGCTACAGAGTAGCAACGGACAAGTGTGTTCGTATCCGTCCAGCTGTCCCCAAAATGACTGCCCCCCAAAACTACCAACATTGTACAGAATCCCTTGTCAGTATAAATGCCCGTTTCGGTCGCGCGCAGCCCGTCAAACTCTCTGTCCCTAACCCCTGTTGTTTTAATTCCTATTTTATGTTTTCCGTCGAAACGGCCAAGTTTAAAAATAAACCACAAGAATGTGTGCCCCTCTGTCTGACCTTGTTTTTATTATTTATTTTTTCCCACCCATCACACGGCAGTTACATTTGACCTTACAAAAAATGAAGGATGGGAGGTCGACTTTATTATATTTTCTCCGTCAACTCCGTTGTTGGCTGGTAACATCGGGGATGGGTAGCTAAAAAATATGTCGCGCTTTGAGGGCGCGTTATTATCAGACAGACCGCTGTTAATGGTTGTATGATCGTTCCTGGTGGGAGACGGGGTGTAAAACTTTCTCTGCACGGGCCGAAAACAAAGATTGGAAGGCTGATCTGTCGGGAAAGCATCTTGTTTTTTGGGACAACGCGTAGATGGACAACCGAGTTTTTTGGGAAATCGATGTAGAACTTCTACAGGTTTTATGGTTGGCCAGGTGCTTGACTCCATGTCCAACCTGCCCTCAGTTTGATCCCTTTAGCCTGTTTGGATAGTCGTAGTCCACAGGCTGCGTCCAAGCTTTTGGGGCTCTTTTACTGTGGTTTGGTCTTACAAAGGGCAAGAACTCTGAACTTAAGTGCACCTCAGTTACGATTAGCCCAATGGCATTCGTGAAAACTATGTCAGGGACTTGAACGAACTTGATCTGCATACTATATCAAAGTAGCTAGTTTAGCCGAGAAGACCTGGTTGTTTTGTTTAAGTGGTGGGCGATTAACTAGAAACAGAATAATTATTGAAGTTCAGTTATTGTAAGTAATGTTCTATACCTTCATCAATACAATCTACATTATTTCAGAGGAGGGTTGTCAACTGAGAATTAACTGTCAGAAGACTATAGAGATGACAACAGATAGTGAGGACATTATAAAGTTACAAGTTTGCTTATGATCTTGTCTTCACGGGGAATTAATGTTGTCTTCTCCCTGGTTCCCACGAAAAAAGCTGTTGAGTGTGTGTTGAGGATATACAGGAATTCACCAACGAAACCCTTTTTTGGTTTGCTGCTATCGGATTTGAAATAACGAATTCTAAATGCTGATAACTTTGTTCACTCAAAGTGTTTCACGCACATAGGAAATATCCCCATCATTTATGTGGCGGACTGGTTCTTTCTTGTTCCAAAGGATCAATGCGGCCAAATGGGGTATTGTTTATCATTCTCCAAAAAAGGTAGATCCTTTATGAAATTTGCTCTTCAGACAGAAGTTGAATTCAAATTTTAAACGAGGGAAGCGAAAAGCCTGATCGTTTTTTACATCAAAGACGACCGTACACATAAAAACGGGTTTGAAAATGATCTTGAGTACCTTCATAACGACAGCTTTGAGCTTAATATTCCTTTTATTAATATATACTTGCAAATAATATATTATGGATAATGATAATGAAGACCATATTAATTATTATAATATTTAAACGTAGAAATTATTATTAATAAAACCTCTGCTTCAAAGAGGCTCTCTCTTAATATCTCAAAAGACAGTTAAATCGTGTGCACACTACACAGCATCTATTAAGCGATCAGAATAGGAAAAAAAGATTAACGCCTAATCCCAGGAAAGGTCTCCAGACTATCCTTCGTCTAACCACCAAAGGGAACTCTGGAGCCGGGACAGTTTCGCGCCCTTTAGCTGAGGTCATGGTTCTCCAAGTGCGCCGAATACTAATAACCTTTCTTATTGTTTTGTCATGTGGCACTTCGGCTACTCCCGACCTCATACTGAAAAGGGTCAAAAGTTTATGTTGTCACCACAATGAGCACTAAAGTGCTACGATTTTATTGTTAATAAGATTATTTTAATTCGTAAAGATCCTTTATTGTACTCTTTTATCTTTACTCTTCTTTGTCTCCCGGTTTTCATCCTATAAGCTTTCACACAGAGACAACAGCTTCTTGATTTTGAACGCTGTTCTACATTTGGTTTCTCGGTCAAACTACGTCGAATCTGGACCCCCCCCCGCCCGTGTCTCCCCCATCTCTCTCTCGTTCTCCCCCTTCTCTCTCTCGCTCTCTCTCTCTCTCTCTCTCTCTCTCTCTCTCTCTCTCTCTCTCTCTCTCTCTCTCTCTCTCTCTCTCTCTCCCTCTCTCCCAAATACAAAAACTTTGTTTAAGCTGACTCCAAAAGCTCTTTGAGACCAGATGAACTTCAGGGTCAAGAGAATCAACACAGGCATCAATATAATTACACTTTGTAAGAGAATAACTGTAAATGTTTCAAGCCATTAACGGGCAGGCTGCTTCGACTTTCTGGGTCCAGCTATGTGGGAAATATCTCAGGGAAAAGACTGGGAAACATGATAGTCTAATTTCCTTTCGTAGGAATCGAACATTTCCGCGCTGTGGAAGCCAGGGAACTAACCATGCTGTACAGACATCGCCGGCAACATTCTGAAGCTAAATAAAGAGAATATAAGCCCGATGTCACTTACTGTTGTTTACTAAACGGAGGGTACATCTTTAAGTTCTCCAAACCAAGGGAGAAAAAAGTAAGCGCTTTGGATATGAATATTACAGTCTCAACACTGGCCTGAACATATCGATAAACACTTCAAGGCCATGAAAAGTTATGTCCATTTCTAATTGGGCCAGGTTCGTGCCTTTCAGTTAAGACAATTATATCGACACAATAATTATGGTTTCTTGCCGCCAAAAAAATCAAGACTGACAGACAGACATAGACAGCAGAGGAAAAGGAAAGAAAAGCAGAACCTATCAGTGGAGCCCTCTACAACCAGATAGGCCAAATGATGTGGATAGAGAGTCTTGACAAATCCTAATTCAACCCAAGCTAACAAAGGGCCTGCAGGTAAAATGTGCCAGAGTTTTTCACTCCCAAATATCTCAGTGGTGCGACTGAGCCTCTCCAAGGGCCTACTGTAGAGTAGGTAAAAGCCCCTCCCCACGGTGAAAGGGGCAGTTCAGTTAGAGCACAATATTGCAGGCACGGAAGCAGAGACAGAAAATGCTACGGGTGTCTGTAGAAGTTAGGGAGCTTCACACCGTCGCACGCCGAAGACAAAAGTTGGATTCTCATGTGGGGGTATTTTTTTTTACCGAGTATTCCCGTCCTTCTGCTAAACCTCAACGCATGTTGTTATCAAAATGTTAGGTCACAGGAGCCAGCTTCCTACATTGTGTCCATGACGATAAAAATAATCTACCGTTACAATATCATAGGCAATGCCCCTTAAAAAAATTTCAAGATCTTCATTGTAAGGCACGGGCACCGGCATCTATAGTGATGATACAGTTTTATTCTTCACCGGAAAGAGCCTGAGCTCTGTTCTCGTACGTCTTATCAGGTACCCCTGTCTTTTTCGAGGGACGAATGAGATAATAAAGCCCCAATTTACCATGACATGTACGAATATATCTGCTACTTAGCCTGTCTTTTTATATTTTAAAAGTTTATATGCTATTTACAACCCTGCCGACACTATTTTGATTATTTAGAACGCATGTTTGCGCCAAACCCCGGCAGCAGAAAGGCCAAGACATTAGATTTTAAAAAAAAATTCTTCCCACTCGGGAATCGAAATTCGGTCCCTTGCGTGCGACACAACATAGCTTCTAACTGCTACACCACATACGCCGATACCTGCCCCGTAATTGATCCTTATGTATCCAAGGGAACATAATGGTCAACTATAAATGATTTTAAATGTGTCTCAACGTGGCGGAATCAGGCGCTCGTCCGTTTTTGGGCATATGGAGTTATTGGTATCTTCTTAAAAAAACAAAAACAAACAACAACAAACACACAAAAAACAACATCTATCTTGAACGTAGGTTGAGACATTTAGAAGGAGATCGGGGTCACCTAGTTTCATGCGTAACATTAAAGAGGAAACTGCCGCCAAAGTTTGAAAACTCTCATAGCTTGGGAGTCTATGGAAATAGTTAAATAGTTAAGTGGGTGTAAAAGGTGTTGAGCTAAAAATCAAACAAAAAATTGATAAACATTGCTAAACTGCAGTACAAATGCCATTTTCTTCGATTTCATTATTTTGACGAGCCCCTGATTTCACCACGATGTCTCCTGAATATATTCCGCCAACAACTGTACGCAGCCTCTGATCATGGTCAAATGGGGTTTCAAACCAGGCGTGTCGAGGGTTACGCAAGTACGTTGGCTTGGGGTCTGACCAACGTTGTAGAGTACATCAGATAACCGGTAAAAGTGGGTCGGGCCATTCTTTCTCGTATTTCTCACTTATTTTCGGTACTTTTCTTCAAATTAACTGCTGTCTACGCCCTGCTTTCCCGCCCCTCCCTCCCCCGCCACTCCTTCCCCGCTCCTTTACCAAACTCCTTCTGCCCTATTAGTAATATTAGTCTTGTCTTTCTTATGCGTCTCTGTTTCATAATCAGAATCGTCCTTCACTCCCTCCCTTCCACCCTTCCCGAAACCCCTATGTAGTCTCTGTCTGTCTGTCTGTCTGTCTGTCTGTCTGTCTGTCTGTCTGTCTGTCTGTCTGTCTC